GGTTAATCTGTCATTTGCTGTACAGATGTTTTTGAGTAGATTGGTAGGGACTTTTGAAAGCAGCAATCTCCTGGGAAGAATCTGAGGTTAGCACAACAGGTGGTGTGTGTGACAGTTTGGGCCCAGCCACTGAATGCCTGTCCCTACACTGTGCCTCCAGATTCCTTTACCTTCCAACATGGAAGTTTTATGATTACATTTTAAAAATGTATAAGTTAGAGAACCTTGTATCTAAGGATGGATATGCCACAGATGCAACCACATTTCTTCACACAACATATCATAAAAGACTAAAAGGCTGACAGACAAGGTTAATCTACAATATTGTATCTTCTATGCTCACCAACAACTTTTGGACCACTGTAACTCCTGAGTACTTTGCCCTAGTTTAATGACTCATGGATTATAAAAGATGTAACACACACAGTTATTCACCTGATGCTTATTTGTATATCCAATGACATGACCCTCTGAGCACCTTTCACCATAATGCTGATCTCACCAAAGGTTCAGCTCACATTAACTGGCATTTGGTTTTATTGGGCTGCATAGCTCTTGATGCCTTCCTCCCTCCTAATCCCCAGCAGCCTTTGGCAAACACCACTGTCCTGGGTGCTGACACAGCGCAGCACTTAGCTTCTGCTTCCTTGGAGGGTTCCCTGCAGGACCTCAGATGAGGGCAAGAAAAGGCAATGCAAGCCCCGTAAAGCAAGCGCCGTCCTTCAGTCTGAGTCCTTTTATCTTTCCTTTTCTCATTTGTGCTAACAACTTGAAGCCAGGCCTTGCCCATGCTAAGCACAAGCTCTACCCATGAGCTGAGCCCCCAGCCCCAGTCAGTGCTGCTTACACAGTTTCCTTTCTTTGGAGAAGTCTCCTGGCCCTTTCAACTTCACCTTTAGCCTCTGAGTTTTGCCCACATGCCTGGGAAACTTTAATCTCCTCAGGTTTTTTTCCTCCAAATTTCCTGGAGAGTATGATTCCAGTTCTGAGAAAAAAGGTCACTTCTGAGGAGGAGGGAGTTAGGTGCGCTTAGGCTGTCATCCTAATTAGTTCCCAGGCTGGGCTAATTAGTTCAGCTGACTGCTTGAAAGAAACATCAGACCGACTGTGAAGTGCTGCACACATCAGAGAGGAAACCAAGACAGCTGCTGTGAAAATGGTTAAAAAAAAAAAAAAAAAAAAAGAGGAAGAAGAAGATGCAGGAGGAGGAGGAAGGAGAGTGAGAGGAGGAAAAGAGAATCTAGATAATTCTCAACACAGAATCCACAAATAAGACACACCTAAAGGAACTAATGAATTTGAGAACTATAACAAGAACTTCTGGGCTAAGAGGAGGTGAGGAAAATGGCCACAAAGCATTAGGATTAAGAGAAAAATGTGGGGCTGGGGCCGTAGCTCAGTGGTAGAGTGCTTGCCTAGCATGCATGAGGCACTGGGTTCAATCCCCAGCACCACATAAAAATAAAGGCATTCTGTCCATTTACAACTACAAAAAAAAAAAAAAAAAAAAAAAGACAAATGTGCTCTCAAAAAGGCTTTGAATAGAATCAACAAAAAACAAGTTATTTTGGCTAATTATCCAGTAGGGACAGTGGCTTTTTGTTTTACAGATGGGAAAATAAAACCTTTAGAGAGAAAGTGACTTGAATATTATCATACAGAAATAGGACCCCACTGTTCCGACTCTCAATTCCCTTTGCACCAAAATTCATCTTTTATGTTCTATTGTTCTCCAAACTCAACCCTCTAGGATGTGGAAACTTTGATGCTGTTGGAAATTGCTTCTATCTGTCTAATGCCAACTTCTGTGCTAGGAGAAGTCTGAAGTTCAACCCAAAAACACAGGGCATGGCATGGTCCAAAGCTCATTACAACTTCTCATTAGCTCTGTCTCCTGGGGCAGCTAAGGCATTCCTGAGTGTGACTCAGGACCACCAGTCAGAACTGGGGTTCCTGATGAATCTGAACTGAGCAGGATAAAGGCAATAATAAGGTCCAAGCAAATGAAGCAATACATCTTGCAAGAAGTAAAAAATTACATGAAAATTTCTTGAAATACCATCTTGGTATTAAACATAATAATATATAAAACTTATTCAACACACATTATGTGCCAGGCACTATATTTGTACTTGACATTCATTAATTCATTTATTTTTCTTAAGATCCAATGAAGTAGGTACTATTATTATTTCAATTTTAAAATAGGAAACTAAGCCACAGAGATATTAACTAACTTGTTATGCTGGCTAGAAACAAGAATCACTCTAGAACAGGAAGACTATGTCAACTGAGACTCAGTATCCTGATTTTCAGAGCCATGAAAAGTTTCTCTAGATTAAAAATCACTTCATTGATCCAAATAACAAATGGAGTTCACTTCATAGTAATGTATCAATGATAGTTTCATAGGATGAAATGTCCCAGGGTAATGCAAGAAATCAACAATGGGAAAAGCTGGGGGAGGGGCGCCTGGGAATCTACTGTTCTTATAACTTTCCTGTAAATGTAAAATTAATGTAAATTTTTTTAAAAAGCTTTTATTTGGATATTTCATAAAGGGAGTTTTTCACTGAGTCAGTTCAGATAGAAAACTATTCTTTTTTTCCCCTGAAAGTCAAAAAATATTTGAAAATATCTGTGGGGACTTGGTGAACACTTTACATGTAAGAGAGAGGACATTAAGGTCTCCGTTGGAGCTAACTGTGCTGGAGTTTTAAAGGCAAATTGGAAACTATTTCCTGGAACACCGCCTCACAGCATGCCTTTTGATACTTGGATTATATTTCTTAAATTCTGAAGAAATCTTTGCTTTTTCCCCCCTTCTGTGCATTTTTGATGCTGAGCTGTTTCCGGTTTTCCCACACTCCTGCCTGTCACAGAGAAGAAACCACAAAAATGCAGAAAAGCAAAGTTTGTCCAAAGAGCTGCGATTTCACCTCGGGAGGCTGAAGAGCTCTCTCCTGTGAGTGGGGGTGGGGGTGGGGGGCAGGAGGCAGGGACAGTGCCTTCAGAGGCTGCCATGCCTAAGCCTCCTCTTCACAGCAGGCCAGCTAGCCACATGGGCCACTTGGGGCAGTGGCAATGAAGAGACGATGCACTGAGAGCAACCAACTGGCAGATTCAACATGCACTTCTGAACCACTGCTTTAGCTGTGGCTCTGGGACCTGCAGGGCAGAGGGTGCCTTTAGCATGCAGCTGATAGTGACCTCTGGGTTCTCAGGTGAGCCAGGCCTTGCACTACTACTTACACGTATGAGCTTTTTACCAACTCACCTAGGAAGCAGATACTCTTATTGTCCCATTTTTATCAGTGGAAAAACTGAGGCCAAAACATTAAGTATCTTGCCAAAGATGTCAAATCAGTCAAGTGTGGAGTGGGGAAGGGAGCCAGGCTGTCTGCCCCTGCAGGCTGCACCCTTGAGGACTTCAGTCTTCTTTCTAGGTTGAGAGGACACGCAGCTTCCTTTCTATCTTGACACTGGCATTCAACCACAAACTGCGGCCTCCCTACTGCCCTTGGCTACTGCTCCAGAGAGTTCTGCAGTCTTTAAAATGCAAGTTATTCCTAGGACAGGGCTTGGTACTTAGCAGGCGCTGAGTAAATATTTGTTGGATAAATGAATAATGGCAGCAATATGATTAAACAGCCGCAAAAGATTGTTTTCAATTCAAATCCAGAATTTGATTCACCCTCCAAAGAGGAAAAACAGTAACACATTTTTTTCTTTGTCCCAGGATTCTTTCCTACAACTAAAATTGAGCTTGTGGAGGACAAATGAACGGGAGCATTAATGAGAGCAAGAGAAAAGCACCACAACCTCAAGGTGTTCAGATGGTGAGAAATGCTAGTCCCTTCCAAGTATCTTTGAGAAGTCTCCTAGTATTATGAACATGTGGGCTAGAACCAACGCCATGCACCTGTTTGCTTCCCCAGATGAAGAAGGGTTGGAGGTGGAATGAAGGATGATGATGACCTACAACAATTTGATTCAGGCATGGAATTTTTTTTTTTTTTGTATAAAATGGTAGAAGAACATACAAGGTACTAGAAATATTGTTGCTACTCAGCTTGTTGAATAATGCCAGTGAAATCTCAATCCTTCATCTTCCCATTCAAATGCTCAAACATGAACAAACAAGTTGGGGGGAAGGCATTGGCTTTTTTTTTTTTTWAATAAAAATTTTTTTTTTTGGTACCGGGGATTGAACTCAGGGGCACTTGACCACTGAACCACATCCTCAGGCCAATTTTGTATTTTATTTAGTGTCAGGGTCTCACAGAGTTGCTTAGCATCTCGCTGTTGCTGAGGCTGGTTTTGAACTCGCAGTCCTCCTATCTCAGCCTCCTGAGCCACTGGGATTACAGGCATGTGCCACTGCACCCAGTAGGCATTGATTTTTTTTTTTATGAAATTGAAATATGATTGAGTAGAATGACTAGAAGAAGATGCAACAAGGAAGAAGTTTTCATTTTCTTTCTCCAAGCCCACAGTTCAGGACTCTTACCTGGGGCACTGACTGTAGCTCCTGCCGGAGGCCAGCAGAGTTGGTTGGCAATGATCTTGAACTGTATAGGGAGCTCTCACCACAATCACCCAGGGAGGCTAAAAAATCAGGGGCTACTCCTCTCAGCCAGGGCACAGCCCAGCCATTGGCATGCTTTAATTATTTGTACCTAGTCTTTACTCTCCATCGGGTGTTCTTGTGACCCCCACCATTGAGAATTGAGCCCAGGGTGCTTTGCCACTGAGCTATATTACCTAGCCCTTTCTATTTTTAAATTTTCAGACAAGGTCTTAATAAATTGCCAAGGGTGGCCTTGACCTTGGAATCCTCTTGCATCAGCCCCTTGAGCTGCTAGGATTATAGATGTGGGCCACCACACCCAGCTGGTATTCTTGTTCAATACCTTATGGAAGGTTCCAGAAGTTAAAAGTACAATTAGCTTAAAATTGACATAACTTAGAAGAAACTGAAAAGTTTACAGTGAACTTACTTTGAAGCCCTCTGGGATGTGGCCTTTCTGAGCACTTGTTTATGATTAGATGGGGGTTTGGGGACCAGGGAGGAGGAAGAACTTGGAGGTGGCACCACTTTTTGTGGCAGAGTGGTTGGCTTCTGGCCACTAGCTGTGGCACTTGAAATTCTGCAGCCTGCACCATTATTCATTGTCCATAAATTGGAGTTAGGTAGTGTCTGGCTGCCAAAGATCGCCTACAAGAAAAAGAAAAGAAAAATGATCGATGGAGATCCCTTTCCCCCGCCACTTGCTGCATATTACTGCTGTAATCCTGAAGGAGGGCAAAGAGAAAAGGGAAATTGTTAAGTCATTTTTGAGGACAAACTTCCTCAGGGCTGTCAGTGCAGGTCCAGGTTCAGACAAGAGGAGCCCCCTGAAGCAGGGCTGAGGTGCTCTTGGGAGCACCAGGGCTAGGAATCCGGGCACCCAGTACGAGATGTTGGTCCCTATTCTGGATAATTCTACTGAAAAGCATTGGGTCTCTCATCTTGGCTTCCTTCGTTGTTACAGTCAACAGATTTTTGAACGAATGTCTCCTGGCTGAGGACCCGAGTGCTAGAATTTCGATTCCAGCCTCCTCAGAACTCTGAAGGTTCCCGTGTTGGAGGAGAGGGAAGAAGCCCATGTAGCCATGAGCGACCAGAGTGCAGAGATGAGGCCCAGAGCCAGCCCACGCAGGGCTCTGAGGGCTATTTTTAGAATTTTAGCACAGTAACACCCTGTTGACCTAAGGATTAACACAAGATTTTTACATCTGAAAATGCTTTCAAAGTTAAAATTACAATTAAATTCATATCTGGCATCCAACAGGAGGGTGTTTTTGCTGGAGGGGAGGCCTATAAAGATCTGAAGACACTTCTAGACATCACAGATGTCTGCAGGATGCGCAAGTATACTTTCTTCAAGTAGGTGCTTTAAGAATTCTCACAACTTATTGACCTCGTTAGAAATAGATTTTTAAAATGTATGAAATATGATATGTCAAGAGCTTTGTAATGTTTTAAACAACTAACAATAAAAAAAAAAATAGATTTTTTTGGTGTGTGTCATAAGTTTTGTTATTGGTCCTTTAATACTATTAATACTACCATCAATACACATGAATTACAAAAACTTTTAATGAAGTCATAGTAAGAGAAAAATAATGTAATTGACAAAATACATGGCACTTTTTATTCATTTTTTTTGGGGGGGGTACTGGGAATTAAAGTTGGAGGCACTCAACCACTGAGGCACATCCCCAGCCCTATTTTGTATTTTATTTAGAGATGGTCTCACTGAGTTACTTTGGGCCTCACCATTGCTGAGGCTGGCTTTGAACTAAAGATCTTCCTGTCTCAGCCTCCCCAGCTGCTGGGACTACAGGCAAGTGCCAGCACGCCAGGCCTACATAGCACTTTTGTGAAAAAAAAAAAAAAATCCTAAAATTCCCATTGAGCTGTAGATACACCACATAAAGAGAGATGGGAGAAGTCACTTTGGCATGGCCAAGCTTGACGGAAAATGACAAGATGATCTTAGGACACATTCACCTTCCAGACAGACCTCACCCATATTATTTTTGTCCTTTATGAATTTTGTTAAAAATTCAGATTTAAAAGATGAGCTGGGTAGCTTTAGAAACATGTCAGCGACCCTTCTCTGCTCATGCCTTGGGAGGCCCACTTCTGGGAAATGAGTCCAGAAGCCTGGCCCGGCAGGTCAGAGCGGTCTTGCATGCAGTGAATGTGTTTGACTGAAACACTTGACTCAGATCAAAGAGGTTTATCAATTGGACTGATGTGCCTTTACAAACTGACCCAACGAAGAGAAGAAAGGAAGACTCAAGGCCATGGGCCAGACCAGGAGGGCAGTGCTGTCACATGTGTGTCCATGAGAAGCCCTCCCATGGGGCCAGAGGGCCAGGGAGCCCAGCTGCTCCAGCCAGCCTTCTTGAGGGAAGGTGCCAATTCTTCCTGTTCCACAAGGGTTCTCAAACAAACCTTCTTTTCAACTGCTGTTTCCATATCTGAGGGCCTCAAACTGTGTGGGAGAGGCTCAGTTGGAGGAGGGAGGCAGGAGGGAGGCAGGAGGGAGGCAGGAGGGAGGCAGGAGGGAGGCAGGAGGGGRCGCAAAACCCAGGCTGCTGTTTTCACCACTACATCCTAAAAAGTGGGCTCAGCTATGAAGAGTGTGTGGGTGATGCCTCATTCAAGATGGGAGGAGACCAGGACTTAGGTGGGGACCTAAGAAACTGGAATGAGGGTCACACTGAGCTGTCGATAAACAACTTCAATGGATAAGTAATAAAGAAGGAAAAATCAGTAATCAAGAGCTCTTGGAAATAAAAATATTCTTTAATGAGTTATATTTTAATGTCATAGGAGAACTGCCATCAGTAAGAACATCTATTCAACAAGTGTTCCCATGCTTACACCAACCATATTCCCAAATTTATTTTCCAAATTCATCAAGTTTTTCTTTTTTTCCAATACCTTTCTAGGTCATCTAAATACAATTAAAAGAATAAATGAAAAGAGCAAGTTCAGAACAGGGAGTATAATAAGCTCCTATTTGTGTAAAAATAAGTGTATAAATAAACACACATACACAAAGTTAATATTGCACAGAACAATTCTGGAAGTATATTCAAAAAGTTGACAATGTCCATGAAAAAAGAACTGGTTAGCTATGTATCAAGGTAAGAAGGACATTAACTTCACTACTATTTTTAAAATTTTGTGTGCAGTTATTACACAAATAAATTATTAAAAAGTCAAGTTCTAATAACATTTAAGTGTGTAACAAATTAGCTCTGAATATAAGTGACAATATTCACWGAAAGCCCAGTTTCAACCAGCCAGACATTTACTCCCTGTTAGACTGGCTGCAAGAGAGAACTGACTGCTCATAGCTGGCTTTGGAACCAGATTAGGTCATCAATGAACGGCAGAGAGACGAGGCTGAGGGGAAAACGCATGGCGTTTCAGTTAACCGCGGGGCTCAAATATCAGCCCTGTTACTCACAAAGTGGGTTATCTCTTCAAGTTCCTTAACTTCTCTGCACTTTGGCTTCCTCATAAGCAATTATATAACTACTTTGGTGGATTGTTGGAGATTAAATGGAGATTACCTACGTAATTAATAAGGGTTTCTTAAGATAAATCAAAATACTTGGCAAATGCTCCATTCATTCCCTACTGCAGTTTWTCAGGGGTTAGGGATGACATGAAAGCCTACCTATCAGTAATCATTTGTGAATGGTAGTTGGTTATGCATATTTTCAACATATTTTTCTAGTCTTATGATGATGCTCACTAGCTGTGAAAGCAAACTCTTAAAATGAAAACATATGTTTAGGTTCCCAGATCACATTTATTCAATTCTCTCTGGCCGAAATAATCTTTTCCTCTTCTGAATGCTTATAAAAATTTATTCGTATGTCTTATTCTAACTGGTATTGTATTCGGTCTGGTATTATAGCCACTTATCCATGTACTTTTCCCCTTTTCTGGACAATACGCACAGGAAATAGCTATATTTTATAGGGTTATTGATTTTGGTTTCACCCACAGTGGTTTGTGTAACGCTCAGGTGCTTAACCCAATTTATTCCAGGAAGGGGCAAAACAAAACAGTACACCAATTATTTATCTTTTTTTTTTTTTTTTAAGCAACAGGTGAATTCCTCTACACCTAAATAGGGAAATGTGTATATGCATGGAAATGCAATCGTGTAATAAGACCATTCTCTGAATTTATATAGTACCTAGTGTGCTGTCTGTGTCCAAAATATAAATAAGCCCTCTTAAGATCCCCTCAAAATAAATTCATCTTCTTAGATGCAAATTTTGGGGTAGGACTTGACACAATGATGTTCTATGTAAGGTCAGATGTTTCTTTAAACAACAAAAAACTTATTGCTTAGGAGACTGCCACCTGCCTGGATATCATCACTTTTCCCTTCCTAATAATACTGTTCTGATTCTGTCTGGATAATAATGTGTGTTTAGCTTCACCCACCCCCCCATGGCGGGGGGACACAATTCTGGTCAATGAGATATAAACAGAAGTTCCTGAGTGTGGATTTTAGGAAAGTTTTGGCTGTTCTTCCCACTAGCTAGCTAGAGGTAGACAGGCACAGGGTTAAGACCCCAGGGGACAGAGACAGAAGAAACACGAGTTTCAGATGGCACCATGGTGTATGGGGGAAAATCCCTCTCTAACCAGAGCGTGCGCGTGCACGTGTGTGTGTGTGTGTGTGTGTGTGTGTGTGTGTGTGTGTTACCTGCAGCCAAGTGGAATCCTGATATAAGAATTCTCAATCTACCAGTCAAGCTTGTTTAAGCCTCAGCAGGCATGAATTGTTTCTCAAAGCAAGTTCTCTTACCAAATACAGTAAAAAGCATCTAGGTTGTGCCTTATGGTTTGGTGGCCATGCTGGAATACACCCAATGGACAACAAAGGAATCACAGCTGAATTCCATCTGAAACTGAAGAGTCAGAAATGAAGACAAGTCCCCAGGTGTCTCACCAAAGCGAAGGTTAATTGGGGTGGGACTGAAGCAATCAAATATGATAAGAAGCAGCTCAGGAAAACACTCAGGCAATATTAAAAGCAGATATGTAAGTGGGTGTATTTAGACTGGTTTCCCAGACTCCTCATACCCTGTTATTGGCCTCAACCCTGACACTCCACCAGCTAAAGATCATGTGAACTGTTTTGTCCTGATTCTTGAAAGGACAGAATTATATGATGTTCTCTGTATAATTTCTAAGAAATGTGAGGACTAAATAGACAATGACCACAACATAGGGACACAGCTGTACTGTCACCACTCAGTGTCCTGGGAAAGGGAGCTGGATGAGCACTGGCCTCTACTTAAGAACTGATCAACATACTCGGACTCTGGCTGCTCTGCTGGTGTGGGAAAGCCGCAGGACAGGGAGGAGACTCAGCACCAGTCGGAGGGTTGGCCTGGCCCCAGGCAAAGACTGGAAAGGCCCTCCCCTGGCCTCAGAGGGGTGCTTGTGGGTGGGAAGGAGGAATTTCTGATAGACGGAACACAGACTGCAACTTGGAAGGTTACAAGGAAGCAAGATCTGGGCTCTCCAACTAGAAAGATAATACTATGCAGAGATTAAATTCTGGAAGTTTTTTTTTTCTCCTAATTCCTTCCAGAAAAACACTCCTTTTAGCCTTCACTTAGGCTTAT